TTTCTATTAATAAGAAATGTTTCATGAGCTGAATCAAGTAATGAGGGCACAATCAGAAGAAAAATGAAACTGCCACTTAAAGTATCCATATGCAAAAGGAATACCAGTTATCGGTATAAGAAGTAAATGTATAATGATCTCAAAGATTGTATTTAGAGATGCTCATTTTTTAAAGCTGGATATCACAAACATTTTCAGAAAATTAGACCTATTAGCTTATAGTTTGATCCAACAGTGGAAAGAGTTCTATGGCTTTAAGCCATTTACAAATAGATAAGGCCAAATACAGGGACTGTGGTACAAAAAAGCTAAGAGAATGATTAGATGACCTGATAAACTGGTTCTTTCTGCAATCTCAAAGATTCAGTTTCATGGGGTAAAAGATGAAAGTAGGCTTTCTATGTGGGACTTAATAGTGAAGAAGATGATGATGATGACTTTCTGTATAAATAATAAGGTTATCTTGAGAGGGATGCTCTATATACATTCTACATATATCAAAATAAAATATTTCCAAGCTGTAAAGATCTAAAGCATCAGTAACATGTAGAATTTAAAAGGTGATTAATTTTCTTCTATTTTTCTTGGGCCATGTTTGCCCCATTTCATCTACTCCCTCAATTCCCTACAAATTCTTTCCACTTATACTTTAAAACTAATTTCTGCTGGGCGTGGTGGCACACACCTTTAATCCCAGTACTTGGGAAGCTGAGACAGGAGGACTGCTGTGAGTTCAAGACCAGCCTGGGCTACATAGTGAGTTCCAGAGGTCAGACTCAACTGCATAGGGAGATGCTGTCTCAAAAAACAAACAAACAGATAAATTAACTAACTAACTAACTTCTTATTCACCTTACGGGATAGACCCCACTTTTCTGGGGTACTCAATAGGAAACTGAAGCACATGACACTATCTTCATAGCTTCATAGATGGTATCACATTGCGATTCCTCATATCAATTTTTATTTAAAATATTTCTCATTTGTATTTTGAGTATGTGATCAAACCACTGTTTTTTGAAAAAAAATACTCAGCTTTGTCAGAGTAAAACTTCAGAATTTTTTCTTCATGTCCTTAATGCCTTCACAGAGGTAGCTGCTGATACCAGTTTGTTTGGTATTCTTTGGCTTTGCAAATAACCCCATGTATATCTTTCAATGTATACACTATTTTTTAACATAGTTCTCTATTATTAGATATCTTAGTTGAGTCTAATGTTATATTATTACATGTGGTATTATAATTATCATTTTGCATTTAAGTTGAGTTAAATATAAATTATTTGCTGGGTTACATCTCTAATATTGATATCCAAAAGTTTGAACCAATGTCCTAAGCGTATGTAAAACTTTTACATTTTCACAGAAGGCAATTAGAGGTATCAATCTTTTAAATCCTTTCCAACCTGTTATTTAAAAATTACATAATTTTTTCTTAATTTCTGTTTCTCTAGTATATGTGGCATATTTCTCTTCTTGTTTATTACTTTCAACTCTTATTCTTTGAACAGCCTTATGTAGACATTGGCCCATCTTATTGTTAGTTTCTTTTGTGTGAGGTTCACTTGTATGATAGGTGCACTGACCATTTGTGTGGTAAATATTTTCTAGAATGTGGTTTCTTTTTGCTTTTATAGTTTTTGTAGAGACAACTTTATTAGTCTTCTTTGCATTTATTATTTTTTTATTTTGCATGTCACGGGAAGAATTTGTGGATTTTTTTTTAAATTGGCAATAGAATCAGTTCTTCCTCATTGCTACTATGGCAGGCTGTACTATAATTCTGTTTTCAAAACTGTGAATTCTAAGAGGGCAGTGATTGTGTCATACCCATTTTTATATTCTGGCTAGCAGAAAAGACAAAATAAATAGTAATTCATGGATGAATAAGTAAATGATTGTACAAAAATAATTAAAAAATAAGATTTGAAATTTAGTACCAGCCGTAACCATTCTGAAATGAATTTATACCCTTGTTATAGAAACAAGCATTTCACTTACAAAATCATAAAAGTTTTAATTCTTAAAATTTTACTATTATTTAAATGTTTTTTTGTCTTTGTTTTTGTTCTTTCGGCCAAATGGTGTCTCTGTGTAGTTCAGGGTGTCCTTGAACTTGCTAGGTAAGCTGAGCTGACCTCAAACTCACAGGAATTATGCTTCAGCCTCCAGAGTGCTGGGATTACAGGTGTGCATCCCCACATTCTGCAAACGATTATTTTCTCATCCACAATTTTTAATTTTTTCACTAAATCTTTTCTATATCTCCAATTACATTTATTTTTGCTTGTTTATTTTTATCCTAATTATTTTTACACATTATTTACTCTTGTACTCTGTATCTCTTCATTTTACCAGGTTTAGCATTTTATTAGTCTAAATGCTTTGCTGGGAAGCAGCAGAACTTGAACTAGGTTTTCTGAATTGGTGAAGGCTGTATCTTGATAAATCTATTCTACTCAAAGCATTCAGAAATGGATGTGCAGCTAATTTAGGAACAGAAACCAAGAATATGAAGTAGTCACGTCTGTCAGTTCCCACCCTAGTCTACTTCTGCTGCTGGCAGTTCTTTCTCAGACTGGAAACATGGTCATATTACTACTTTTTTGGTCCTATATCCTCAAAGCTTATTTGCCAGAGGAATAAGGAGTTTGCCTTCTAGTTCTATGTAAAAACACACAAAGAAACCAGAAATCAAATTGATAAGAGACAGAGAAGGCGGGGGATGATCCAGGTATAAGTCAGATGAGTAACTCCTAAGTGAAATAAATAAGTCACACGTGTGTAAATACCGAATAGTTTCTCTGGTGTGAATAAACTATAATAGTACATAAGATCCTACTGAGATAACTGACAATGTGAAATGGGAAGAAAAGGGCTAAAGGTGTAGGAAACGTGGGAAGGGTAGGGCAAATGTAATAAAGGAAAGAAAAAAATAGTAGAAAATGAAAAAATGGAAATAAAACGTTTTCAAATAAGGAGGGGAGGAGTGGGTGAAGGGAGGGCAGGGACAAGGGTAAAAATGAGAACCAAGACTTGTCATGTAAAGGTACAAGATCCCAATAATGAATGTAACTGTACTGTATGCCTAAAATGTACCAATAAACTTAATGAGGAAAAAAAAGTCAGAGGAGTAAGACAAACACCTGTTAGAATAATCATTGTCACTATGGTGATAAGATAGTGATTGATGATAATGGGCTCTATGATTATTGAGTAGATTCTGTCATAGAAAATAGTAAATATCTCACCAAGTCTGAACTTGTGTCAGACAGACCTCAATCTTAGATACTTTCTGACTTAACCTCTCTGAGCTTCGGGTTCTTCATCTATAAGTGATAATATTGTGCATCTTAAAAGATGTTATAAAAATTCAATGATGTAGGTGAAGTACTTAGTAGATTACTGTTAATCAATCTTAGCTATCATCCTCCTCCTCAGTTTCTTTCTCATTATTATCGCTATGAATAATCGGAAAGAACTTTCAGAAATTGAAATACACTTAAATAAAATTAATTGAGACAACTAAACAGAAGAAAGGAGGTAGACAGTTTTCGCCAAAAAGTATATTATAAAATACAAATGCTTCCAATACTACTCTAAGAGTAATAATTATAAATTATTAGCTACTTGGAACATCATGATGATCTTATCATCTCATTTAATCTAACAAATATGTAAGGTTCCAGTATTACAAATGAAGAAACTTAAGATCAGAAAGATTAATGAGTTATTGGGGTCATTTATGAAATTAAGTAAGATCAAATAGGGCCGGAATTTAGCTCAGTGGTTCTGCCGCCTGCTTCACAAGCCCAGGGTCCCGAGTTCAATATCTAGTACCAAAAACAACAACAACAACAACAACAACAACAAAAACAAAATAAGATCAAATAAATATGCATAGCATAGCTTCATTAAGTGAGATAGTTGCATCATCATTAATGTAAGTTTCAGGAAAAACTAATATGAATATGAATATACCTCCAGATATGAGCAAGTCATACAATTTAGAATTTATTTTCACATTTATCATATTAAAATAATATAAAAATGTACTTGGGGAAGTGGAGTATAGTCTTGAATACTACACATAGTTCTGGCCTAGTTCTGGATAAGAAGTTGAGTCCAAGTGTATTAACCCTTGGGTTTCTGTGTCAGAGATTCATGCCTAATATGAAATCAACCCCATCAGGTAGCCTGACACATGGACAGAAAGAACTGCACTGGCAATAGGCCAAACTGAAGTCTCAGGAAACGCAGAGACAAGCCAGTGGGCAAAAGTAATGAGTTAGGATTTCAGAAATCATGAATCACTGGGAAGCATCATGTCCTGTGAAAACAGTAAATCTAGAGCCAAAGAGACACTAAGACAAGCTTAAGTGTCCATCCACCCACCTCCATGACAACTAACAAGGGGGATGGGTAACTGCTTTAAATATACTACAAATATACTATAAATCAACTATGTATATTTTGAAAATTAAGTTCTCTGTGAGTTTTCCCTGTAAAGGAAAAGGGTTTCCTTTTCTTCATTTCCCTATTGCTCCTTACAAACTCTTTAGGCAAATGTTTCTGTGAATTGAAATCAGAGAGTCCAAGCAGTGCTATGTATCTTCAAGGGAGGATAAAATTAAATAGGCAATGCTTTTTAAAGGTTGACTATTACACAAAACTTGCTATGTTTATAATTAAAGGATATAATTATATATGACTAAAGAGGTCAAATTTCAATAATGATAAAATTCCTTTTAGAATGAATAAGGGAAAAAAACTAATATTTTTCTATTTATACTAGAAAAAAGTAAATGTGAAATGTATTACAAAGGCATTTTTGAAGTTGTAATTTCTTTTAAAACTCTAAAAAGGACAACTATTAGAATATATTCCAAAAAAAGAAGTAAAGAAATTATCCAGAACAGTTTTCCATTAAACTGTTTCTTTAAAGTGTTCCTTAATATTGGATTGAAGCTACTTTGCTTGGAATATTTTAAACTGCTCCAGACAAATCATTAAAGGATGCTGCAGGGAACTTGCCAGGACTGTCCTGGAGATGGCGAAGCTAAATGTAAGTCCTTTCATCTTTATTTAGGCTCTTCTGTAATATATTTCCTTTCTGAGAAAGAATTTATCTCCTTCTAACAACATGCTGGGGAAAATGGCAATACCAAACTATATCGTAATGCAATAATCTATGTAATTAAATTACTTCATGGATCAATAGGAATGTGCAAATTGTGAAAAACTGTGAAATGTAATAATGTGTCTGACATTATAATTTCAGATGGCTTATTTATTCTTATATATTGATGCTCATTTGATTTCCCTGAACAAAGAACTGTTTCTTGGTCCGCTTTGGTTCTTCATTCCTTAGACAAATGTATGTAGAGAATATTCTGTGTAAGGCATTGAGTTAAATGCTGTAGGGGCTAGAAGAAAAACACGGTCTCTCTGCCTTTATGGAGTCCACATTCTAATACAGAAAAGGAGGCTGCATGGTATAAAGGAGAGGACTTTGGGAACACAGACCAGGTTCAGATTCTATTTTCTCCCTTTGCCAGCTGGGTCTCTCTCTTTTTTTAAATATATGAAACACCGGATAAAAATGACTTTCCGCAGTGATTGCAATGAGAATGAGCATACACAAAAAGTGCCTAGCAAGATTCAGTATTCAGTTAGTCAGTGTGACTTTCCTTCCTCCTTAGAGAAGCGGAAAAACTATAATCAGTGTAATATGTGCTGAATATATAAACCAATTACATACAAAATAATGCAGGAGCTTTTCTATATATTTTTAATATAGTGGTTGTCACCCAGGGGGATGAAAAATCAAAAACATCTGCAAATCTTTTCTAACTCTCCCAGTCACCTCAATTACCTGTCAATCCATTGTCCCTCCCCCTCTAATACATACACAAATTTCAAACGTATCAGAATTACCTGAAAAATAGGGCACCTGAAGAAAGAAATGCTGAGTAGCTGGAAACCACTTTTCCATATATGGTCAGCACCCTCTGAACTCTTCTAAGTCACTAAGCACAAAATTTGAATCCAAAGAAACTTTAATTTAATCAGTCATTTTTAATTCAGTCATTTTTTGGTTTGGGCCAAGTCATTTAATGTCTTTTAAATCTTAGTTCAGGGTAAATATCATGATTGCAAAAGTGTTTCTATTCCCAGCAACTAACACCATGAATTCTCTATATAAGGTAACCAGAGAATATTTCCAGATTAATTACATAAACTGTGAAATTCGTAAATTATTTTCTGCTATTCATTACTATTATGAAAATTTTAAAAATTTCAGTAGAAATCCTCAGTGTCGAAGGTATCTCATAGTTCATAGCAAATATTGTGGGCTGGGGCGACTAAGAAAGAGCTAATTGAGCAGGTTTTGGTAGCAAGATTAGATTGGGCTTGAGAATAGCGGATGATGAAATGTGGCTGGTATTGGACACCCATAAGAACTAGGAGTGGTAAACGCTGGAGCAAGTTGACTGTGGTCAAGATGCTATTGAGCTTTAATTAAATTCCTCATTCAAGAGGCAAGTGAAAGTTTAAAAAAAGAGAGAGAGAATGATTAATCAGAACTCTACTTTCGAAAGATCAATTTGGCATTTGCCTGCAGGATGGAAAGAAACAGCATGTGAGATTGCTCAGGATGCAGGAAACCAGAGCCCTTAAACTCTGTCAGAGACAGCAATGGAAGGAATTGGTCAAGAAGTATTTCAGGAAAAACAGCACAAAGTCTTAAAATGGTACAGTCAGAAAGAAGAACAAATTAAAAGTTTGAAAGATTCAGAAAAAAATTTAAAATGAATTAAAAGTTTGTAAGTATGAGAATAATTATTCCATTTACAAAAGGACAATTGTCAACCGAAGAAACTATTTTGCAAAGAGAGGATTTTTTTTAACAAAAAGGTATTAAATGGTTTAATTCAGTTTTGAACTTGCCACGTCTGAGGTACTGCATCATGCAAAATAATTCAAACTGTAGCCAAGTATTCTTCTCGATGCTCATTCCATCTTTAGAATTCTCATAGGGAGCATTAAGGACAGAGTACCAGGGAGTATTCAACTTTCAGGAGAAAGCAGAAGAGATACACTTGTCTATTTTAATAAAATAAAATTGTTCTAGTATCATCATCTGTTAATTATGCACTTTGAGGCTGGTGATCTAACTCAGTGATTCCGCCACCTGCCTCACAAGTGAAAGGACCTGAGTTCAATCCTGGGTACCAAAAAAAAAAAAAAACAAAAAACAAAATACACCTTGAATTTTACTTGTGTTGATTTATGATATTGTATTTCTATTACAGAAAATAAAATACTGTTACTTTTATTTTTATAAAACTTTTCACTAAATTACCTAGAATTATATTCAGAAACCATCTTTTATGCACATTGGAACAAGTCTCTAAATGGCCCTGAATAAGCTTTTCAGTTTATAGAACTCCTAGAACCTTGTGCTTATTTTCTTTATGTTTTTCCTTCTTTTTGCCACCCACATGGGTTATTGTAAGAAATATGATTCATAACAATTAAATTTCAGTTTGCACTGGAGATAGAAAGACACTTGCATAATCTATGATAAACAGATCTTCTTTTTTAACCAGTGGAATTTCAAGTCCTGCTCTATTAGGGCCAATTGTCTTATGTAGAAGCATATGGAAATGATAAAATATTATTGCTACCATCTAAATATGTTACAGTAATAGTACTTTGTGGTATGTTGAAAAATACAACTGTGTCTGTTGATAATTTAATGTTTCTGGATATTTGATTTCAGTAATAAACTGAAAAAAAACATTCAATGGATTTTTAGAAAAAAAGTTGAGATAAAGGAGATTCATGTATATTTTAATTTGTGAATTAAGTGAACATCTACAGAATTATAGATCCTTGTGAGCAGGGTTTTAGCCTTACCAAACACTTAAAATAGTAAAAAGCATCAGTTACAATGAGGGGCACATGTCTTATAAAAGAGGAAGGAGAGAAAAGGTTCAGGGTATTTGGATTAAAGGTATTTTGGGATGTTCCTAGAAGTAAAGTGAAATTTAAATTGATGTCAGAAGAATAAATTAGAGTTGTCCAAGGAAGAGGGGTAGAAGAACTGCAACAAACCACTCTGCCTCTTCCTGACCTTCAATGTCATCTATGAATTATAGAATGTAAACTTGATGATCTTAAAATTATTTTCTGGTATAAAGCACCATTTTAATAGGCTCTTTCCTATACTGCAAATGCTCTTCCTTCCTTGAACCTTTTTGCTTAGATTGCCTGTTGATTTCTATTTATCCTTAAAGACTCAGCTCAAAGCATCTTTATCATTCTTGCGGAAGCTCTTCTTGACCTCCGCTATTATTCCAGGTAGTGTTGGAATAATTCCAGGCATTGTCTCCCGCGTCATATTGCAGGTAATTTTTTCTGCCCACCACCCCATATACGGTAAGCTCATGGTGGTGGTAGGGTGGAGTTTCAACTACATTGGCTTTGGTATTCAGCCCAAGGCTGGTAAAGTGAGTTTCTAGATGTGTTTGGTTAAGTTATGTAGGCGTGGCCTCGGGGTTTCTCTCTGGTTCCTCACCCTTTCCAATCTGGCCCCTTTCCTTTGTCTGTTTTCAGGCTATGATGAACTAAACAACTTTGCTCCGACGCATATTTCTGTCATGATGTCTTTGCCTGTTAGCCAGCCTATCATGGGCCAAACCCTGAGAAAATTAAAATTCTCCTCCTTTAAATCCCTAACACCTCTCACCATCTCGCAAACGGTAGATTTTCAGTGAATCTGTTTGTTTTCTGAGACAGGGTCTCTCTATGTAGCCAGGCTAGTCTCAAACTTGCTATGAAGCTCAGACTGTCCTTGAACTCTTAGTCCTACTAGCTTGGACTTCTGAGTGCTAGGATTACAGGCATGAGCCACCACATCTGGCTGATAGTCAGTGAATTTACTTAAGTGTTGTGTATGTATGAATAAATTCATGTGTTTTGTTTTGTTTTGTTTTTGGTACTGGGGATTGAACTTGTGTCCTTGCACTTGCGAGGCAGGCAGCAGACCATTGAGCCAAATCCCCAGCCCTAAATTCATGTTTTAAGAACCCTCAAAAAGCTCTTACTAGAAAAATATACACTTATGAAATCTTTTCTAAACTTCTATAGACAAAATGAACTTAGAGGAAGGCAATAATGATCCTTTTGACAGTTGAGAAAATTTTTCAAGAGAGTTTCTAAAATTCTGTAAAAATTTAGAGTTGTATAAAAATCCATTGAAATTTGGGAGACACAAATCTTTATCAGACACCACAATGACCACTTTTTGAAGATTATCATGCTCTAAAGTATCATTATTTGTTTGGGATATATTACTTTTTTTTATCTCTATGCTTCACCTTCATTTTTATCATGAAAATATCTTATTATTCACAGTGGTTTTAAAACTAACCAGCCTTACATAAAAATCATCAATCAGTAATTAGAAAGACAAACAAACCTGATTTATAGATCATATAAGTACAAAGAAAAATTGTGATTTGAATCATACATTTTGATAGAGAAATTAATATATCTGTGTTTTATGTGACTGGCAGATGATTAAAACTTTGGTTATCTAATTCACTTTTTGATGATTAAATATGTTATCTCATAATATGTGGGCCATGAGTTTTATGAACTGAATTAGGAGGTGATTTTTATTAAGTGTTGATTTAATACTCTTGTTTTCTTTTTGCAGCCTCCTGATATACTTAATATGATTTCTGAAATTCCTTTATCAACAATAAGCAGGTTTTAACATTTGCAGGAGGCCTTCAAATGCCTTGTCAGGCCTGCTTTTCTACAAAGGGCAAGTTAAATTCAGTTGTAAGGAAAATCATAACATTCTAGCTTTAGTTCATTTAGAGGCCCTTAAGTGTTCAATGATATGAAAAGTAACATTTATCTGTGAATTAAGGAGGTTTAATCACATCAAGAGTGCACTTCATTATATAACATATAATTCAGGAGACAATTCTCTATCGTAAAAATGTAATCCAAGTTTGTGTAAAGATTTATCCTTCACTTGAAGTCACA